GCTCGGTGCGGGCCGATATCCCCACCCCTCTCCTCCAGACTGCCTGTCGCCCGCTGGCTCTCCCTCTCCCCCTCCCCTTTCCCACCAACACGGCGGGGGCGGGGGGCGTCGCGACCCCGTCCATCTGGGGGGCGAAAGGAGAGCGGCGAGAGAGAGAGAGGCGGAAGGGGTCCGAAAAAAAAAGAAAGGCGAGAATGTTATGTTCAGGAAATTGTTGAGAGGCACAAGATATTCTGGTTGTGTTGTTTATAGAGTCGTGCGTAGGCGGCTGAGCTGTGGTCCGTGGGAGGGGGGCGAGCTGGTGTGTCGCCGCGCGCTGTCCGGTGGGGGCCCGTCCCCCGCCCCCTCAACGAGCTCAACGAGCTGTACATTATGAAGGCTTGGAATGAGTCGGCAGCAAAGGCGGAGGAGTGCGGACAGCGGGGGTGGGTTCGACGGGGGTGGGCCAGCGAAGTAACCGAGATGGGCTGCTGGGAGAAAGGGGAAAGGGGTTGGGGGCGTCAACGTGAAATTTAGAACGACGTAACTCGTGCAGTCCACCCCCGCATACCGCGAGGGACAGCTCTCTCTATCTCTCTCTTTCTCAAAGGCATACTCTTGTGTTGTCCATCGCCGCGTTGACCTTTCTATCTGTCTGTTTGCAGGTGTCTCTGTGTGTTTGTCGTGTGCCCCTCTGACCTCTGCCCTCTCTGTCTGTTTGCAGGTGCCGGGCGGCGGGGTGTCGCTGACGCTGGGCGAGCTCCAGGACATGGCGGCCCGCCAGCAGCAGCAGCTGGAGGTGCAGCACCAGCTGCTGTCCGCTCGCGAGCAGCGCCTGCACTTCCTCAAGCATGGCCAGGCGCAGGGCTTGCAGGGCGGCCAGCCGGACGGCGAGCGGCTGCGCCGGCTGCGCGAGCGCGTCGAGGCGCAGGAGCAGAAGCTGCGCAAACTGCGGGCGCTGCGCGGCCAGGTGGACGGCAACAAGCTCAGCAACGCCGCACTCAGTGAGTATTCCTTTTATTTATTTTTATTTTCCCCACACCGCCCACTTTGAAACGTTTCGTACACTACCATCCCATCCCTCTGGCTCTTTATGCTAAACAAAAACAAAAACTGATGGTAAAATGCCTCCGTTGGCTCCACGCTGCAGCAGACTGCTGCTTCTGCTGCGGTTCTTTTTCCCTCTTTTTTGGGCGGCGCGCAGACGGCCATTTGTTCCCACTGTGGCCGCTTGCCGTGCGTTTGCGTGCGAGCGGCGGCTGTGGCGGGCGGGAGGTGAAGGGGGGTGGGGGATTTCACACCGGGCTTGGCGCGCCCGGCCGGGCAGGCACCGCTGCGCCGCTGGCGCCCCCAACAAAAGAGTGCCCTGGCATTGGGTGGGGCAGGCAGGCCGCGGCGCCGGGGGAGCCCCAGGTGGACACAGCCGCTATATCACGCGTAGCACATGGCGTTGGCGGGGGTGGCGGGCTGGCGGGAGGATGGGGATAATCCCCCCCCCCTCCCCCGCATGGGAAACATAACGCGGTACATTGCATCCCCAACTAGTTTGATACGGGGAGCCCGGGGGGAGGGGAGTTGTCCGGCTCGCCACTCGGGTGCTCCCCCGGGGGGGGATACACACGCTCCCCCCGCCCCTTTTCACACAGGAGTAGGCACCGCTGTTGTCGGGGATGAAAGGCGCGCGCATGCGTGCGGTTATTGGTAAAAGCATTGATGGATCGTGTTTTAGTCCACGTAAACAATTATTACCGTACGGCGGGCAGAGTATGAGGAGAGAGATAGAGTGCGCCAGTTTGGTCGAGAATGTAGTTTGAACCCCCGGCGCTGCTGTTGTTTCTGCCGCTCCGGACGTGACGTGGCCACGGCTGAAAGCCCCCCCCCCCCTTTTCCCCTCGGCTTTCCCTCGTAGGAGCGTAGTGCAAGGTCCTAACAAGGGAGGTTAAAAGGGGCGAGAAGGGGCGGAGGGGGGAGGGGGGCGGCGAGGCTCGTCTCCGGCTCGTCTCGGCCAGTTAGTTTCCCCCTCTAGGTGGGCCGCCCGGCGGGGTAGGCCGGCCGCACAACAGCTGTGTCGGCCGGGCCGGCCTATCCCCCGCTCGTCGGGCGCTCTGCTGCTGCGTTGCGGGACGGAGCGTGAAATATACATTGTGTCTTTCGAATGTCGCCAGGGGTCAAGGTATTTCCCGGCGCCACACACGTACATGTGTGAATGTGTCTGTAAGATGGTAAGATGTGTCTTTCGCTGTATTTTGCGTAGAGCCCTCTAAAAACGCCATGCGCTTGCCTCTCTCTCTTTTTGCTTCCTCTCCTTTTCCTCCCCTTTTCTTCCCATCCCCCCCACTCGCGATCCCGCCTCTGTCTCGAAACGGCTCTTATTGCAGGCGTCTGTTTAGTGAAATCACTTTGGGAGACTGAGGCGACTGAATGGTCTGGGACGCTCCCGCTCGCCTGTCTCTGGGACAGCATCTCGCCGGGGCTGCTTGCGGAGGCTCCTTGCCAGGGCTGCTCGATGAGGCTGCCCGCCGAGGCTGTTTGCCGGGGGCTGCTCGCCGAGGTTGCTTGCCGGGGCTTTCAGGACGAAGCTTGCTCGCCAAAGCTTGTTTGCCGAGGCTTGCCCGCCGAGGCTTGCTCGCCGAGGCTTGCTCGCCGAGGCTTGCTCGCCGAGGCTTGCTCGCCGAGGCTTGCTC